TTTTAATTGATTGTGAAATATCTTTAAGTTTGCTGTGTTATAAATGTGCTCCTACATTATAATTTTGCTCCAACAGGGAGGCCCGGTTGGAGAAGGCTGATCATTAGCCTTGCATTTTTCACTCAGGCTTTCTCTGTGGTCTCTTGCATCTGCCCACCATGGTCTGAGGACTTTTCCTCTGCCAGACGCTTCTGCCATGCTATTTCTGCCTGCGAGCCAGGTGGTCATGGGCTGAAACATCAGAAACTGTGAGCTAAAGCAAACCTCTCCACATTTGCAGTTTTCAGGTATTTTATTCCAGCAATGAGAAAGTTGACTAATACAGAAAAGATGGATAAGTACCATCTTATCCTCAGGGGACCACTAAGATTATCAGATCAGAATTACACAAAGAATAATTTCTAGTCCATATGAGTAATGCTCTAAATTTAAATAGTAATGATTTATTTTTATAAATGTGATGTAGCATGGAACTCAAAATAATGATGTTCAAACACTCTGTGTAATGGCTACATAAGCTTGCCCCATGGCAGCTAGCTGAGACAGGTGCTAGTTGTATGGACTGGGGTCAGAAGTGATGAATATCATCCTGCGTGGGCTGAAGTTCACACATTACCCACCAGTTGTTTGTCTCTTGTTACAGGCAGCTGAGCTAGTTTGAAATATTATAGGCAGTCAGACAGGGCTAGGCCCTGGAAACTGGCACAGAGGACCAAATGTCTGATGACCTTGGAGGAGGCACACACCTCTTGTTGTGGGCCATATTGCTGGACAGAAGGCAGAACAAATGCAACCACACCCTTAAGTATAATCCTTAGGAATTAAGTCTGGATCACCTTGAGAAGTCAGGAGTCACCATTCCAATCCCTAGGGAAGAGTCACTGATCTCTAAGGATGCCTACTTTCTACATGACTTGCTTCCCATTTGTTCCAAATTTAATCAATTTTACCTGAACTATTAATCTTAGTGGCTAAACACAGCTCTGTCCCAACTCGTACCATTTACCTTACCAGTTCCCAGTTTTCCCCAATTTTAGAGTCACTTCACCTCATAGTTTCACTCTATAAAAATCCCAAGAAAATACAGAATCCTTGGCAACCCACTTGGGACCCCATATATCTCTCAGACAGAAGCTTTCTTTTAATAAATATTTCTGCTCATAACCTCTCCATTGTTCCTAAAATTCATTCAACAACTTTAGAGAACGCAAACTCATTTCAAATATGCAGTAGGTCAGAAGTTTCATTCCCCTTTGCCACTCTGACTATGGAATTTGAGGAAGTTTCATGTTCAGTCAAGTGCAGATACAGACAGTGAAGTCCTCCTCAGCCTAAGTCCGAGAGTGATTACACAGGGAGTTCCTACCATGCACCAAACTGCTTGTCTCAAAATTCACATGGTTGTTTCCATAAACCGAGAAGCAAATGCTGAAATTTACATGTACGTGCAAAAGATTCTGAATAGAAAAAAAGATCAGCCTACCAATAAAACAAAACTGAAAATGAACAGATTAAGACTCATAATTTTTTATTACAAAGCCATACAAATCAAAGTAATATGGTATTACCTTAAATATAGTTATTGTTAAAGTTTTTCAGCGAAATAAAGGAGCAGAATATAAATGTAAAAGTGGCCTTTATTCCAAGGACATGGAAAGGAGCCCATAATCAAGAGTGCTCTGGATTTTTCTTTATCCTAGATATGGTATGGGATATATGTAACCTTTGATGGAGGGTGGTGCTTAGGGCCGGTTATTGATGACATGCGAGGAGATGATTGGAATTTTCTTCACCTTGCACTGGGAAAGGAAAAAGGAAGTTGTGTTAGGGGAAGGAGGAAGTGACCTCAGGGTAGACATCCCCAATTTGGCCTTCCACTGCCATACTGTCCTGTAATTTATTCTAGGGCAAAATTCTTTCAGTTATAAACAATGAAACAGAACAGAGTTCAGAAATAAATCCATGCATCTATACTTTATTGATTTTAAACAAGTATAGCATGTTTGTTTAATGACAAAAGTTTCATCAAAATTGTGCTCGAACAATTGGAAGTTCACACATAAAAGAATAAAGTTGAGTATCTTGTACTAAAAATTAGCCAAAGAAGTAGATTTTTAGATACACCAAAAGCACACAGCAGCAAAAGCTAATGTGTTAGTCACTTTCCTTGTCACTGTAAATGTAATGCCTGCATGTTAAGGAGGAGATGTTGATTTTGCCTCCCATTGTTAGTCTATAGTCTGCTATGTCCAAGCCAGGGAGGAAGGGACTGGCAGAGGGGAGATATGTCATGGTAACCAGGAAGCAGAGAGAGAAGGGAGGACTTGGAGGAAGGACACATCCTTCCAGGTGATTTACCTCTTCCAATCAGACCTCACTCCTAACAGCAAGTCAGCTGTAGCACCTCATAATCGAACCTCTTACAAACACATGAGACTTTGAAGACAGTTCTAAATCCAGATCATAGCAAGTAACTCTGTAAGATGACTGATATGTTTATTTTTTGACTGTAGTAATAGTTTCACTAAGTACATGTACATGAAAATGTGTTGTACACCTAAATATAACTGATAATACAATGAAGTTGCATTCCTACCTCATATCAGTCACAAAATCAACTCAAAATGTAGAATAACCTAATTTTTAAAGCCCAAAACAGAAATTTCTTAGAAAATATGAGTGAATCTTCTAAAGTTTAGGTTTTGCAATGATGATTTATATATCATACACTCACAAAGAAGCACACACACACAAAATACAAGGAACAAACTTGGAAAACAGTAGATAAATTTAACTTCAAAACTGTCCTCATATGCATCAAAATACGTGACCAAGAAAGTGAAAAGCAGCGTTAAGATGTAGCTCAGTGGTAAGCTACTTGTCTATTGTGTATGAGGCCTTGGTTCAATCCTCAGTGCCACTACTAAAACATCAATTAAAAAAATGAAAAGAAAATCTAAGGAACCTGTGACATGGTAACAAAACTTTGTAAATTTTTATTCGATTGGTACAGATAAAAACAAAGGAATTCTCTCAGTCACCAGAAAATGAAAACATACATGGAACAAATTGTTTCCAAAAGCTGCTAGAGATTAAGTTGGTTTCTTCCCCATGAACTGATTTTGACTATCTGCCTTCCAGGACTGTGAGAAAGTTAAATGCTTGTTATTTTTAATTCCACATGCTTGTGTTTATTACAATAACCATAGGAAAACAGTCCAAACATCTTTATCATGTTAAGCCATTGGTTAGTGTGTTTGATGTTGGTGTGAAATTTTTTATAAACAAACGAAGTGTTTTGGGTTTATTTCTCCTTAACATTCATTCACTCCTTCATTACAATCTTGTAATGAGCCCTAACCTTCCTCTAAGCATTAATCATTGTTAGAATATACATATGTATATTTCTAGGACTTTTATTCTCCCGGTGAAGGAAAAATATGGATAGAACTTTTATTTTTACAAGAGAAACAATTATAAAAGCATCATATTTTTGTGTCTGTGAAGTTAGTTCCAAAAGAGGTCAGCATGGGAACTGCCAGGAGAGTAACCATCACTCTCAGAGAAGGCAGCAGGTGCCTAGCAGTGCATGGAGGCAGAGGAAGGGTGAACATGTGCTGTGTGTTTGAGCAGGACGTCCCTCTGCCCCTGTCCTGGGAATCAAAACTTCTGGGCCTCAATTCTCACACTTTGCCTAGAACTTACACCACTGGGTCTCATGGTGGTAAGGGTTTTGGTTTGGAACTGAAGCTGCCTGCACAAGCAGCCTTACTGGGGCTCTCTCTAGCATAGAGAAAATCATGGAAGTCCTCAACCTCTGTAATCTTGTGTTCTAACCCACAATAGACCTCCTCCAATGTATTTCCATCTATCTATTAGTTCTCTTACTCTGGAGAATCCTAACCACTATCCCACACCGTGGGAATTCAGTGTCCAGGTGATTTACTCTTCTGTACATTGCTAGTGTGGAGTATGAAGGTTAATGTAGGGTAAAGGGACAGCTTGCTCATGGCACAGAGAGTGAACTCTTTGTAAGGTGATCAGAAAGAGGTGTTCTGACACAGTAGCACATAAGCAAAGAACTAAATAGTAGTGAGAGAGAGGCTACAAGATTATTTGATGTTCTGAAGTAACTGCAAGGAGTGAGGGAACATAAAATGGGTACAGAATTGGGAAGTGACTAAAGATAAACTAACTCATCCTAAGTACAATGAAGAGCAGTAAAAATACAAAGGTATTTTCAAAAGAAAGTTGAAGAGTCTTTCCAAGCTGTGAATTTATAAAATGACATGTAACTTAATAGTCAGAATTGTATAAATCATAAAATGCAGTTTTTCCTTACTTTTCTAGAATTGTATTCTTAATATGTTACCCATGATCATGTTGGTTGCATAAAGTCATACAATCAAAGAGAAATATGCACTTAAATCTGTACATCTAAACCTCTATACTAAAATGTGCTAATCAAAAAGCAAAAACAATGTAACATTTTTATTGTTAAATTAATGCTTCAGCAATATGAGTACCTCAATGAATTAACAATATTAGAGATGGTTTAAATTACTAATACCTCAATTAATTATTAAAAAACACTTTTCTTCAAAGTTGATTCACTTTTCAATTATGTCTGGGCAGATTCCAGCTCTTTTTTATGTGAATCCATGCATATATATTTGAATAAATGACAGTCTTGTGGATGTTGCCCTATTAAATGATTTTCTCTACCACTTTATGGTCAAGAAAACACATGAAGTGTGCTAATCAAAAAGTAATACAACACCTTTTCAAGGGTTTTGATAAGCAGGAACCAAAATAACTCATGATTCAAGTTAGTTTTTCTGTTCTCATATTATGTTTCTGGAGACATTCCCTGCTCTCTGGAGAACAGTTGCTGAAATGTATGAAGGACCATAACTTCCATGGGAGCCATAATAAGTGACTGAGTAGGAAAAGAAGATCTGACAGTGTAGAGAGATCTAGTGTCTCTTCCAATGTCAAAATTAAAATCCTACAGAAAAATTTGCCTGCACAACAATCTTTATGAATGTACTCTTGATCTCCTTGTTCCTCGGGCTATAGACCACAGGGTTCAGCATGGGGATGACCATGGTGTAGAACACAGAGGAGATTTTGTCCTTGTCCAGGGAGTGACTGGAACTGGGATTCAGGTACATGATTATGACAGTTCCATACAACAAAGAAACTGCAGTGAAGTGGGTCGTACAGGTGGTCAAAGCCTTCTTCATTCCCTTTCTTGAGTGAATATTCAAAACTGTGATAAATATAAGCAGATAGGATATTAAAATAACACCTAGTACAAAAATAATATGAAAGCTAGGGATGAAAATGAGAATCAGTTCATTCATATGTTTATCAGAACATGCCAGAATCATGAGTGGTGGAATATCACAGAAGTCGTGGACCACTTTGCTCACACAGAAAGGGAGGCAGAACATCAAGGTGTCTCCAATATCAATAGCAGCAGTCAGAAAACTAGAGAGGTAAGAGCCAATGTCCAGGTGAATACACGCACTCCTCATTGTGATCATAGGGTAATGAATGGGCTTATACACAGCCATGAATTGATCATAGGAGGCCAGGAGGTAATTCTCTGCCATGGCAGAGAAGACAAAGAAGAACATCTGAGCAGCACAGGCATTGTAAGAAATAAGTTTGTCATCTGTAAGCAAACCAGCCAAAACCTTTGGGGTGACAGTTGAGGAGTAGCAGAAGTCCACCAGGGACAGGTTGCTGAGGAAGAAGTACATGGGCGTGTGCAGACGAGGGTCCAGCAGAATCACCAGTATCATCGCAAGGTTCCCGATCAGAGTGGTGAGGTAGGTCAGCAAGAACAGGGCAAAGAGGGGGCCCTGTAATTCTGGGGCAGCGGTGAATCCTAGCAGGAAGAATGTGCTCACCTCTGTGGTGTTCTCCACTGGTGAGATTCATTAGTTAAAATGTACTGTTTAATAAAGAAAGTGAAAATACATCGCTGAACAAAAATCAACTGCACCAAAATTTAAAAGTATGAGCAATTAAGAATTGGTTTCTGAGCCTCATTTTATCCACTAATAAAATGAATGTGCTGTTAGGAAATGTCAAGGGATTACTGTGAGTTAAATGAAACCATGTGTGAAAACAGCTCAGTGTGGGTTTGAGCACAGTGTTACTGAATTTGTATAAAATGGTATTTTCTGTATTGGCTCACGAAAGGTGGCAACATGGAAGTGGGTGGGATTTAATATCCTATCGCCTTGGTCTTTGATTTATCTTTTCTTATTTATTGAAGCCACTGATATCTTTTGCTTCCTCCAGTACTTCCTTATTGGGGACCTGGCCTAGATCCCCAATCTCCCAAAGGAGTGTCCTGTGAAGGCTTAAATAAATGAGATAAGTGGTATGATGCTAGGGCTCCAGGAGAGTCAAAACCCTCTACAGAGTTCAGGGACTCTGGTGGCTAAGACAGGGAATGCCTCTGGGCAGCTGGTATTTATTATTATTTTTCAAACAACACAGAAAACTGCACAGACCTTGGGAGTGGCTCAAGGACTTTGCAAGTAACAAATTATGTTAACAAGGAGAAGTATCTTAGGAGAGCTCTGGGTTGCATTTCACTATAGGAGTGAAATGCCTGCAGCTACAGTCTCCATTTAGTTAATTGGAGTTGCAGCCAGGTTTCCTCCGCCCTGATCTTACCTTGCCCCAGCCATGCAGCAGCCCTGCATGTATGTTCAATTTCCACTTTCAATGGCTCCTAACACTTCCTCACTCTGTTTCTTCTCCTGTAGAAGTGGCTGTGATGACTGTTTTGCATGACAACTGAGGAATTTGACACCTTCCTTTGCTTGACACTCTAATTGAGAACCGTATTTTGGCTTGTCTTGAAAGATCCGCAATCCCTTCTTAGAAACTTTCTCTGTGTCTTTGCTTTTGATACTGAGTGGAATCACATGTAAATGGAGGTTGCAAATTTGGGGCCCTGGGGAGCTGACACTAATGGTTCACAGGCCAGAATAATGTTATTTTTTTTTAAATCTGTTTATTCAGCTTTGATAAAAACAGACCTTCTCTAGCAGCCACTATTTACTGCCTTCCTCTTGGTCCCTAGCACATTATTTCCATGTCTGCATCTTAAATTGCTTGTATTTGTCAACATCTTATTTATAGCAGTATGGAAGCTATAACTGAATTATATATATATATATATATATATATATATATATAGTTTTATGTAATGCACACACATATAGTTTACATAATGCATATATATGCATTTTCTCTTCATGATCATCATTGTCTTCATTTGGGCTTACTCCATAAAAGCTACCCCAAAATATTTAATTTGATTACATTCACTTTGGTCCTTTTACCATGTAAAGCATCATAGTCTTAAGTTCCAGTGACTATAATGGATTGTTTTATACTTATTATTCAGGGTACCACAGTGTATATGAAGATAAAATGCAGCTGTTCAATTATTACGGCATTAGAGATTGTTAGAGCTGACCAATCTTTGCAAATTATGTAGCCAGTTTCCTAACTGCATGTCTGTGAAAGAGAATCAGAAAGGGTTATAAACCTATCCTGATTCATGTACCTGGAGTAATCTCATCTCCCAAAGCAGAACTTCTCACCTTAATAACAGCTGAAACACTGCTCAAATGCCATCTTTTTCATAGACACGTCGGTGTTAGATAGCTATAAATACTAGTAGGTAACAGAGGAGGAGGACATAGAGTGTGTATGCTTATTTATTAGGAAATGGAATATTTGAGTTTGCAGCTTTTCTAAAATTCCATATTTACTATATGATATTAACGATACAAATCCATCTATGACTGAGCATTAAATATGCCTTTAATCATGATGTATCAGATTTTTCTATATGAACAAGAAAGGGTGAGTTTGGGGAATTAAAGTGAAAGAGAGTATAGATCCCGTTAGTTAATTGATGACTAACAATGTGTCATTTAAGTCTGTTTTGGTGAACACCCCCTTTGATGGACAACACATTTACACAGGATGAATTTACCACTTGCTCGATGAAATCATAATCTACCATAGGTTTTGCTCTTTTTGTTAGGGAAGGCAGCATGTCATTTCATAAATATTGTTGTCCTATATCCAGAACAAAATATTTTTTTGCTTGTTCTTATGCCCATGAAAGGTTTTAAGGAAAGGGGTTTAGCCAGATCTAAGCTGAAAAACTCACAGAACACGTACTGGGCCCCAGTTGCCTTGGTATTAATTACATTTTTAATACAAATGTTTATCCAATGTAGAAGCTTACCTTGTACTTTGAAAAGAAGGGGAAAGAACTCTTGAATTGTGTGTCTGAAATAAAAGAAATCATCTCTGAAAGAACGAATAAATAATATTGGAGAAATCTTATCAAGAAGTAGTCAAAAACACCTAATGTTCCTGATGCATAAATAGAATATCATAAACACAGAGTTAGGAAATGCATCTTTAAACCTTGTATCAATCCTGAATTTAACTGTGTACTCAGAAGGGTTGTTTTATCTTCTGTGGAGCTCAGTTTCCTTATTTGTGATTTAGAAGTAATGAAATAGACCTTCCTAGATAGATTACAGAATTGGTTCTGTGCATAACAATTGAGGACTGTACCTAAGATCTTCGTGAAGGATCTCCCCTCGGCATGGACCAATGCATTTGTCATCACTGGAACCTTCCCTGACTATGGTTACAGACTCACTGCATGTATGGTTTGGGAAAAGGCTACAGTATGATAAAATATTAGTATTTGTTTCAATAAACGATGATCAGAGGCTTGTTCAGAAAATGAACTGGGCTACGGCCAGTGGGACTTCAGCTTGGTGAACAGAAGCCAGGTAACAATGAGCAGTGATGGAGCTCCTGGAGGATGCTTCTGAGGCCTATTGTCTCCTCCTTCAGCTCATCAAGGAAGCAAGTCACTAACCTGAGTGTGGCACCATAGTTCGCTGTGTTGAGAAGCACATGTGTACATTTGCATTACTTCCACTGTTTTCTTTTTTCTCCAACTTTTTAGTATGCTGCCACTCTCAAATATCAGGAGGAGTGGGTTAATTCATTTTCAGATATTTCCCTCACTGATAGTTGCAAAATTTTCTAAATTTTGCTTTTATTATGATTTTGAATTTTGCTATTTTATCCTTTTTTAAAAAATTATTTTAAAAAGGGTAAAACTAAACATATCAAAACAGAACAAAGCAGATCAGAAGAAAACAATGTGAGGGATACATATTTCAAAGCAAGACAACAGGAGATCATCACTATCATTTTGTCTCGTTTTCTTCTAAATAGTTGTCCTAATTCACACACAATGAATTCATACAAAACAAAAATAGTATTAAACTGATCAGAACAGAATGATGAAGGCATTAGAGGCTTTTAAAACCAGGCAGTTGGGAAGTCAACAATGGCTGCCGTAATGTCTCTTGTTCTCTTCAAAGAGCTGTCCATACTTTCCTGTATGTTGAAATTAAACAATGCAAAACAGACTAAAATCATGCTGAACGAAGAGTAACAGTGTTGCTGGATTTCACAACATGATGCTATGGAGTCAGCAGTGGCTATCATAGTATCTTTTTTTCTTCAAAGTTGCTGTCCATTTCACCATGCATTATATAATCGATTCTTATAAAATGTTTAGGAGAGGTTCTATGCATGTATGAGTCTCTATGTGTATACTTATCCTTTCTGTATTAGAAGAAAAACAAAACAGAACAAAACAAATTCCTAGAAAAACACGAAACAAAAAAGACAAATACATAACAATAGCAAAGAGCCCAAAACACTGACAATATAGGCCTTTAAACAAGATGGTGGGAGCATAACTAGGGTTGTTATTTTACATAATGATCTCTCACGAGTTCCTCAGATCACAGTACAATAATATGCACAATTATTCCAATCCTAAAAATGTTAACTTTTGTTTCAAGGACTTACAGAATTTGTAGCACAGTCATCTTTGCTATCCTAAATGTGTTTATATAATTTTAGATATTTTTTCTTTTTCCTCATTTCCCCTGAGATATTACTTTTCTCTCTTGAAGCAGATTTTTATCCTTTCACTGTATTTTTTGAGCTTTTGTATCTTAAGTATTCTTACCATTTCTCACACTAGGGGGACTATATGTTATTTACATATGTGAGTTTGACTTATTTTACTTAAGGTATGGTCTCAGGTTGCATCCATTTACTTATAAATATCTCAGTGTTATTATCTGAGGGACAATTCACTAAGATTTTTTTCTCAACTTGTGAGTTTTCTTTTGACAGTGCTGGAGATTTCTTTTGACATAAAAAAAAACTTTAATAGGATGGGATCCCAGTTGTTGATTCTGGAAAGTATTTCCCAGGTGGTTTAATTCTTGTTCATGAATTCTCTACCTATTCCTATGTCTTCAAGATTTCTACTTACTTTGTCTTCTAACAGATTCAGTGTTTCTGTTTAAATATTTAGGTCTCTGATACATTTAGATTTTAGCTTAGTGCATGGTGATAGGCATGGGTCTAGTTTTAGTTTTCGGCATATGGAGAGCCAATGTTTCCAGCACCATTTATTAAAGAGACTACCTTTCTTCCAGTGAACATGTATGGCCCGTTTATCAAAGATAAGATGGCTGAGTGTATTTGTAGTTGTAATTGTATCTTTAATCTATTCTGTTGATCTTCAGGTCTGTTTTTATTTCAGTGCCATGCTGATTTTATTACAGTAGCTTTGTAGTATAACTTCAAGTCAGGGATTGTGATGCCTCCTGCCTTGCCTTTGTTGCTTAGAATTGCCCTTGCTATTCTAGGTTTCTTCTGGTTCCAGATGAATTTTAGGAGTGATTTCTCTAGATCTCTGAGGTATACTGGTGATTATTTTGATTGGGATTGCATTAAATCTGTGTAACAATTTTTGGAAGAATGGCCATTTTCACACTATTTCTTCTTCTTATCCATGAACGAGGGAGGTCTTCCTATTTTCTGAGCTCCTCTTTGAGTTCTTTTTCAGGGTATTATAATTTTCCCTGAATAGATATTTTACTTCTTTTATTAGATTGATTCCTAAGTATTTCATTTTTTTGGATGCTATTGTGAAGGGTGTGGCTTCTCTTATTTGTCTCTGAGTGATTTTGTTTTTAGTGTATAGGAATGCTATTCACTTTTAAGTATTGACTTTGTATCTAGCTACATTATTGAACTCATTTCTTATACCTAGGAGTCTTTCAATGGAGTTTTGGGGATCTTCAACGTAGAGTATCACGTCGTCTGCAAATAATGATAATTTAACTTCTTTTCCTATTCTTACTCCTTTTATTTCTCTCTCTTGTCTAATTGCACTGGCTAATATTTCCAGCACTACACTGAGTACGAATGGTGATAATGGACATCCTTGTTTATCTTTTTTTATTAAGTGTGATTTAACTACCAAGCTAATATAACCTTTAGGAGATTGGTTAGTTGTATCCCTGTTGTCATCTCTTGAATGAATAGGAAAGTAGAAGCCATTTTTCAGCCAGATGGAGATTAATGTCAGCCCTAATCCTGCTAATTGAATTGGAAAATTTTGCCCATATGTGTAGGAAAGTGGGTTTCTTCTTCCCTCTAAGTAATCCTCTTGCAGTCAAGACTGTTGGTCCTCTACCCCTAACTCCTTGGCATTCATTGCTCCTGAACTTGTCAGTGCATTTAAGGCAAAATAGTAACTACATTTTCTGAACAAAAGGCCTGTTTTGGTGCAAGAATTTGATCAACTCTGGGGTACATTATTTGATTCCTCCTTTGACAGCTGTCAGTAAATGTCAGCAGAAGCAAAGCTTTTACTATTCTTTCCCATATGATTTAGATGGCTTCTCTTTGTTCTTGCCTAATTTACCAGTCTAGAACTTCTAGTACTTTTCTTATTATAGTTCAGATCTGAAATGTGGCCAAAGCCTCAGGGCTTTTGGAAGGTGATTGGATTATGAGGCTTTTTGCTGGCTTGCTATTGGCAGGTGGGTCCTGGGCAGAAGAGGCTGGAAGGGTTATTCCCTCCCCATTTGACCCCTCCCATAACTCTCTTTGCTTCTTGTCCTCCATGCTGTGAGGAGCTGTCCTCTACCATGTGCCTCTGCTGTGCTGTCCTGCCTTGGAGCCAGCTGGCTGTGAATTCAAATATGAGCCCAAATAAACTCCTGCTTCTTAAGTTTTGGGGGTCAGGTATTTTGTCCCAGCGATGTGGGTCATAACTAAGACAATAATAGAAGAGAAATGGTAAGAGTGGCCATCCTTATTTTGTTCCTAATCTTGGAAATTTGCAACGGTTCACCACTGAGTATGTTTCTTGGTCTTCTGTTCATGTGGTGCATCTCATTGATTAATTTAACTTGAATCATCCTTGCATTTCTGTGATGATTCCCAGTGATCCTGATAAATAATCCTTTTCATAGGAAATTCGATTCAGTTTTGGTATTTTATCAAGGTTTTTAAAAATATATGATCATCAGAGAAATTGTCCTAAAATATACTTTTATGAAACTCTTGTCCTTCTTTTATATCAAGCTATTCATGTTTTGACATGCATATTCTCAGTAAAGGGCTCCATTATATATAATTTAGCAAATGAACAATGTTCATCATTTCACATAATTATTCGTTTCTTATGTGACAAGACCATTTAAAATCTCTTTCAACAAAAGTCTCACATACAATTTTATCAGCTATAATCTTCATGTTTATATCAGATCATTTGTTCATCCCATGTATCTGTAATTTTATATCCTTCAACATGCATCTTCAATTTCCTCCCTCTCCCCAGTGCCTCAGTTTAACTGTAACCAGTTTTCTCTCTCACCTCTGCGAGTTCTTTTTATTCCCCTCCCTTTCCCTCCCTCCCTTCTTCTTTCTCTCCCTTCCTTCCTTCCTTCCTTCCTTCCTTCCTTCCTTCCTTCCTTCCTTCCTTCCTTTATTCCCCATTTCCCTCTTTCTTTCTTATACTACACAGAAGTCAGATCACAGAGTATTTGTTTTCTTACACCTGGTTTTGTACTTAGCATAATTCTTCCAATTGTTTTGTCTTTCCATCCATGGATGGTGGCTTCCATTGTTTCCCTATGTACTGTGGTTCATACTGCAATAGACACAAGAGTGCATATGTCTTTGGGAGGTGATGATTTCATTTACTTTGAGTATATACTCCAAAGAGAGATTGCTGTATCAAAGAGTAAGTATATTTTCCTCTTTGTTATGCATTTCCATACTGATTTCCACTATGCCTGTGCCAGTTTATATTCCAAGAGTATATAAGCTGTTAGATTTGAATAAGCATTCACAAAATGTTCAAATGTTTTAAGGCTTGGTTCTTGGGGCGGAAGCTTTGAGAAGTGCTGTGAAATTTGCTAAGCTGAGCATCATGGGGGCTTTAGCTCACTGAGGTTGTGCCCTCCACAGGTACTAGGGTGCCCCAGCTGAGTTTTCTCTCTCTGCTTCCTGACCTGAAGTACAGACACTGGCATTGGCATACCCTGTCTCTGTGCCACGCAGTCCTCATCAGAGGCTGAAACCAACAGGAAACCTTGACCAGGACATGAGTTGCCAGATCTGTAAGCCAACACAAACCTCCCTTTACCTCAGAAGTAGCTTTGTCAGTTACTTCATCCCAGCAATGCAAAGCTGACTATGGAAAAACAAAGGTTTCCTGTTTCTTTGCCAAAACTTGTTTTTTCTTACATTTTTCATAATCACCACTCTAGCAGATGCAAGGTGAATTTTAATCATGATATTCATTTGAATTTCCCTGATCATTGTTGTATTAAATGTGTTTACACATACCTGCTATTTTTTTTTTTTTTTTGGTCTTCTTTGGGATAATGTCTATTCAGATTCCAATGGTCCATTTTTAAAATTGAGTTATGTGGTTTTCAGCTTTTAAAACATGTGAATTCTTTAATAATTTGAGTATCAATTGTTTATCAGACGTACGATTTGTAAATCTTTCCTTCCCACCTGTGGGCTGCTTTTTCATTTGCTGATTTTTTTGTTGTGAAGCTTTCTTGTTTGATATAGTTCTCTTTAATTTTGCTTTTTGTTGCCTGAGCTTTAATTTGACATAACAAATTCATTACCACGGATGGTTTCAAGTAGCATTTCCCATTGTATTCTTCTAAAAGTTTTATGATTTCATATATTAATATTTTATCCATTTTGAGTTGATTTTTGCATATGAAGTGAAATAAAGGTCAAATTTTATCCTTCTTCATGTGGAAGTACAGCTTTCTTAGCACCATTATTATCGAAATTATATTTATCTCTTGGGTCTTCTTGGTTGCTTTGTAGAAAATGAGTTGATCAACTATATTTGGGCTTATTTCTGGGATGCCCTTTTCTGTCCTATTCAATTATGTATCTTTTTTCACTTTTCATACTTCAAAGTTTAAAAAATTATTTCAATTGATGAGTAATAATGTTACTCACACTTGTGTAATTATGTATGTACCTATGGGGTACAATGTGGTGAGAATAATGGCTATCAGAATGGACAGGAAGGGTGGATGACAAAAGGTAGATGCTGACCAAAGAGTCAGTGAGACAGGAAGAATAATATTTAGTGATTGATTTCAGGTTGTCTGATTCCAAATTGATGAAGGAATAGACATTAAATGCTTTCATCATGAAACAATAGTCATATGTCTGTTTTTATGCCAGTAAAATATTGTTTTGATCATTATAGCTTTGTGATATAATTTGATATTAGGAATTATAGTGATGCAAATTTCTTTCTTTCTTGGCTTTTTGGGGGTCTTTTCTGATTCCATATTAATTTTAGAAATGTTTTTATATTTCTGTAAAGAGTGCCACTGTAATTTTAAGAATGGTTTATTACATTTGTATGTAGCTTTGGAAAGTATGGATGTATTAAGAACATCAGTTTTTCCCATCTGTTAACACTGGAAATCTGTCTGTTTATTTAAATATCTTTCAATTTCTTTCATTAAAAGTTTGCACATTTCAGTTTTTTATTTGCTTGGTTAAGTTTATCCCTAAGGTTTTCTTTCTCTTTGTGGTTATTTAAAATAGGATTTTTTTTCCTTGATAGGTTGTTATTTGTATACAGAAATGCACCTGAGTTGTATGTTAATTTTCCATGCTGAATTCATTCACTAGTTGTAACATCTTTTGTTGATTCAGGAAGGAGGATTTATATATATATGACACTTACCCCAACACCACTTGCCTTGCAGCCACAAGAGGCCCTGGTATCAGCAGTATTGTTGCAAATGGGGCTTAGGGACTCATCCATTGCAGTCCACAGCGCTGCCATTACTGCAGCCTCCATCACCAGTTCTTCCCCAGAGAATGATGAGATGTCCACTTGGCTCCATGTCCCTCGTGCCACTACCCCAACTGCCAAAAAGCCACATAATAGATGCTGTATCCCAATTTTATTTTGTGTGTATCACACTCACCTGAGCTACTAGAGTGCTGTAACCTCACATGCCCCTCAGTGGTTGGTGATATCTCTGACCCAGACACTACATGCACCACACTCAAATTCATTAATGACAGACAGGTGAAGGAGCTGTAGGGAGATAGTGGGGAGAATGTCCAGCACCTCCCAAGATGACACTCTAAGACGGCAGTCCCCAATAAAAACCAAGGATGAATTATATCACCAAGGACCAATTTCACCAAAGCCACTTTTTGTATAGACTCTGGTGAGGGCTGAGTTGAGGTTGGAGAGGGTTTCTGGATAATTCAAGCTCTTTACCTTTATTGAGCGCTTTATTTCTACCATTACATTGTTACATATACATTATATTATTGTTGTTGCTCTGTAATATACAATGCAATAATTATATACCTCACCATGAAGCAGAATCTAGAACTCAGCTTGTTTTCCTGCAAAGGATGGCCCCATCTGAGGATACTGGGAAACAGTTCACAGCAGGGTTCTCACTCCAATGAGAATGTCATGCCGCCCCTGCTCTGACAGAAAGAGGAGCTCCAGGGGTAGTATGAGTAATGAGGAGCTATTGTTGTTCACCCTGCTTCCTAACAGGGACTTCTGCCCTATGACCTATTTTCAGGATAAATCCCTTCACTATGAAAGCTATCTCCTAAGATTCGTGTCGACAACTTATTGACCAGATGAAATACCAACAATAAGCAAAAAAGTAGTATGAGAAAATATGGTAACATGATACATGCCAAGCAACACAATAATTTTTAGCAACAGTACTCAAAGAAAATGATATTGATGAAGAAGTTGATAAAGAATTTAAAAGAATGATTCCAAGGAAACTCCATAAAGTAAGGCAATTCAGATAAACAATTTAATAAAATTAGAAAAATAATTCACGATATAATTAATGAATTAGCAAAGCAATAGAGATAGCTGAGAATGCTTGGATTTGATGTGGTTTGGCCACCTGAACTCTTGCAGAAGTTTAATCTCCCCAATTCTATGTGAAAGAATTTTACAGAAAGGAAATTTAATTTGAGGATGGTTTCTTGAGGTGAGTCCTTGGAACATATTAGAATTAGAAAAGGACATTAGGATGCAACTCCTGACTGGAACCTGATGGCAATATGAGGGAGAGAGACCACACAGGCAGATATGATCCTCTCTTTCCTTGTTGTGTGATGCTGTTTTCTATCTTTGTATTCTGTTAGCAGAAAGCTCATACCACACAAGACCCCTAGAGCATGAATTTATAGAACTGGGACCCAAAATGAACCTGTTTTCTTCAAAACATAGTCTGCCTCTAATATTTACTTACAGTGACAATGTATGACAAAGACAAGAGCTTTAAAACAAACTAGATGAAATAGAAAAAAGAATTTTTAAAGTGGAAGACAGATCTTTCGGAATAGCCATATGAAATAGGAGAAAAAAATAATGGCAATGATAAATACAGATCCAGAACAGAAAGGAATAACAAATATATCTAATGAAATAATAGCTAAAAAACTCCCGAGTGGTAGAAAAGACATGAATATCTAGGAATACGAAGTCTAAAGAGTCTCAAATAGATTTGTTCAAAACAGATCTGTACCATAATAAAGTCAAACTGTCAAAAATCCAAGACAAAGATTTCTAAAACAGCCAAGAAAAAAAGAAGTCACACAGAAAATAGAATAGATTAAAAGTAGATTTATCTGCAGAAATCTTACAGTCCAGGAAAAAAAACATAATGAAATATTTAAAATTCTAAAAGAAAAAAAAAAAAGAACTTCCCATCAAGAATACTGTAGTTATTATGCTCTTTTCAGGAATAAAGAAAAAATAAGGACATTCCAAGACAAGCCAAACCCTGAGTTTTGACCTTACTAAATTGACTTTACATAAGATGCCCAGAGAAGTCTTACATCTGTACAAGAGTGTCTTGGTTATGTTTCTCTTGTTGTTCAGACAAAATATCCACACTCAAAGTTAAAGAAGGAAAAGTTTATTTTGCTCATAGTTTGTGGAGGTTTCAGTCTGTAATCAGCTGGCTCCTAAGGCAGAGTGATACATGGCCAAGGACAACAGTTCATGGTGGCAGAAAACAGCACAAGCAACAAAAGCAAAAGGGAGGATCACAGAGAGAAGCCTATTTCTGTGCCTTACAATGTATGTAAGCCACACTCACTTGGGAGTAGCACTCACATCCATGATCCCAGCATTCACAGACTCTGGAAGCCCACTTCCATGGTTTCATAAGGCTTTTGGGGGACATCCAGACACAAACCATAACAGAAGGACAAGCGTCACAAAAGTGTGTCCAGTTTTAAAACCCATTAAGAGGGCAGATGCATATAAGATAAAATGAAAACAAAGCTGTACTAGTATAGAAAACCACTAAAGATTGAAAATAAGATTGCAGCTAAGGTCCTCCAGTGATTCTCTATATAAAAAGGTGCTCAAATAATAAAAAATTCACTACATGAGTTTCCCAAGAGCTTGGGAAGCCAGATGAGACAATATAGAGCCTGGTTTCAGTACAACGGATACACTAAAGAAACCAGAAAGAGGAACATTATTTGCCTAACCCAATTCCCTGTGGAATGAGACTCATCCAACTTAGAGGAGAGAGAAAGAAATTAAGTTCAGATTTTAGACTTCAAACACAACCAGTTCTGGCACAGTGAAACTCAGGGTTGGGCAGAGTCCCACAGTCTGTGTGCCCCACACAAATGTACTGAGAAGGAGCCTCAGGACTGTATTTAGCTCTATGGAGTGTTTCCACTACACTTTCCTCAACTCAGGTGGCAAAGCAAGGAACCAGATCTGATGAGCTGGCGAGTAAGGAAAAAAGTCAGAGCAGGATTTTTCCTTGGAATTCAGTGCCAGGAAAACTACAGTAAGATTCAGCATGAGACAGTAAATGAACACCCCAGGAGACCTGCCCCAGCACCAGGCAGAGACATGTGTCCTGATAGAATGGCCTCATGTTTTGGTCCACATCTGTAGCTTCACAACCAAGGCAAAACCAGCTTAGTGTCAGCCTATGTGGCAAAAGGACTCTTGAAAATTTACGAAGCACAGAAAAGGGGAAGACTCTTTCTTCCAGCTGGTCGGGCAGTAAGTGGGACACAGGGCTGTTTTGGAACTTGATGTTAAACTGGAAAACCCCTGAACTGGGCAGCTCTAATGCCTATTTCCTAGCACTGCTCTCACACAAATAGTTTCTGGATCCTACCCAATGGGAGGCGGAGATCTGTAACCCAAGCAATTGAATTTCTGTTTGAACCAATGCTACATATAAGTGCAGTAGTGTCCGGCCATAAACATGCCCCAGCACGTATTATTTCTTGTTACACTGTACTTAATGGATTCTGGACCCTGTGGATAAGGTCATGTTTTAGTATTGATGGCGAGCAGGCTGCCCACTCTACTACTTCTCAACCTATAAAGTACAACATGGAGAGAGTGATTGCATAGTTGTCTTCTGGGGAATGAAAAGTGAGGTGGTACGCAGTCCTTGCAGAGGTTTATTTCCCTCATGATGAGGATTAGATTGGGTTTAATCCTGAAAGTCCTGGACACAAGCCCGGGACTAGAGATGAGGAACCCAGGCCTAGGTAGAGGCTTTCAGAGATGGACTGACAGTGTTAGGCAATCCCACAGTCACATAAAGAACACATTGACTGCAGGTTTGTAACACAGATTTGGGGTACCCTCTAGTGCTGAAACAGTGACAATACACTAAAAATGGATTCAAAACAGACTTGGAGTTTAGTCACCAAGTGCTGAAATACTGGGAGTGATGCTAAGCTCAAAAGAAAAAAATCACACTGCTTAGAAGCTCTAGAATGACAGGCACAGTGTCAAATTATGAAGATTATATTCTGTAGCATGTAATCATTTAATATACAGAAAATATTATTTGTCAACAGGCATCAAGAACCTTTAGGAAATTATAACCTTACCTAACTGACAAAACACAATACAAAAGCCAAAGCGCCTAGCAATAGAAATCTTCAAACTTTCAGGTGAAATCTATGAATTCTTAAAAAAAAAAAAAAAGAAACTGAAGGAAAGTCCACGAGCTTCAAAGAAAATATGTACAAATGATTCAACTAAGAATTTGGAGTAATTAAGAAAAAACCAAAACAGTACTGAAAAGTATAGAAATCAAAATAAAAAATTTGAAGTGTGAAGATTTGTTTTGGGTTTCTTTGCACTCCTGTTTTATTTTGATTTTTATTTATTCACTTATTTTTTGTCTTTTTGCTTTTTATTGGTACCGGGGATCTAACTCACGACTGCCTGCTTGCAAGGCAGGCACTTATGCCACTGAGCTAAATCCCCAGCCCCTGCACTCCTGTTTTAAAAAGTATTTGCAATGATTTTTGTTTACCATGACAGGTAATAAAAGTGAAAAACACAACCAAATCTGAAGATAGCTTTATTTTTCATGTAAATATTACATTTTTGCACATAGTGTTTTCTTTTTTCTACAAACAGGACTACAGAAGTAATAGCCTATTAGTCTATTACTTAAATCAATGTGGGTCTTAAAATGAAACTAAGTAAAAGAAGAAATCCAGAGAAGTCTATGACTGGATAGTGTCACCATGCACCAGTAAAATAAAGCTCTTTTACCTTCAAAATAAGTGTTTTGAATGCACTCTTAACCTCCTTGTTCCTCAGGCTGTAGACTATGGGGTTCAGCATGGGGATGACTATGGTGTAGAACACAGAGGAGATTTTGTTCGTGTCCATGGAGTGACTGGAGCTGGGCTGCAGGTACATGAAGATGATAGTGCCATAGAAGATGGAGACGGCAGTGAAGTGGGAGGCACAGGTGGACAGAGCCTTTCGATGCCCTGCACCTGAATGCAACTTTATGATGGTACCAAAAATGAATATGTAGGATATCAAGATAACAAGGAGAGCGAAAAAGATATTAAAGCCTGCAATATAAACAAGAACAAGTTCACTGAAATGTCTATCAGAACAGGAGAGAACCATGACTGCCGGAATATCACAGAAAAAATGGTGGACCACATTGTCATTACACAAGGAGAGACTGAATGTGTCTCCAACGTGGATGGAGGCATTCAGGAAGCCACAGATATAGGAGCCTAGGATAAGACAAGAGCACACACTTGTGGTCATGGTGGTGGTGTAATGTAAAGGCTTGCACACTGCAGCATAGCGGTCATAGGCCATAGAGGCCAACAGGTAACTTTCCACAGTAGCAAAAGCTACAAAAAAGAACATCTGAGCAGCACAAGCATTGTAGGAAATGGCCTGGTCTCCCACAAGCAGCCCAGCCACAACAGTGGGAGAAACAGCAGAAGAGTATCCCAAGTCCACCAGGGACAGGTTACCTAGGAAGAAGTACATGGGGGTGTGCAGACGAGAATCTAAAAGAATCGAAGCAATCATCCCCAGGTTTCCAAACACATTGATAAGGTAGATGAAAATGATAATGACACAGATGGGCACTTGTAATTCTGGAGCATTGGTTAGTCCTAGGAGAATGAACTCTGTCACTTCTGTCCTGTTCTCCATCAATGTTGTCTGCAAGTCAGAAGGTTATGTCCCCTGTAGCAAAGGAAAGTAAAGGGTAAGAGTATTAATAGGTGCTGTGGAACAGATATGCCACTAAAATGTAAGTGTTTGTATACCAAATACAGGACTTTGGTGCAGCAATAGTAGGCATCTCAAGTTATCTATGTGAATGTGAGGTTATGTAAAACCAAGCAGCTTATCTACACTGTTGCACTGGAAATATATGATTGAATATTCTAAGTTTAAATTTCATGTCATTGTAGTTTTTGGTGAGTATTTTGAATTATTCAATATAACAACTTTGGATATATACATATCATGATATCTACTCATATCATATCATAATACATATCCATATCATAATATACCTTGTATATATTATATACAGATACATAATATATGTCCATACAATTATATATATACATATATATATATATAGTATGGATATATATTACAATATCTACTCACATCATATCAACATATACGTATCACAATATATATCTATATCATATGTAGATATGACATAGATATGGATATACATATCCATATCATTATATCTATATTTATATATGTACATATAAATACTATGGATATATACATATTATGATCTCTACTTGTATCATATCATAATATATATCTATATAATAGTATATATTATATGTAGATCTCATAATGTATATTCATGCCATTATGTATATTATGTATATGTACATATATATGATACAGATATGTAGTATGATATCTACTCAAGGCGTGAGAATAAAAATTAGGTGTGAAAACGTTCTGGGTGGTTAGTTCATCTCATGAGTGCCCACTATAACAACATTACTCAGAACGACAGGCTCTGTGTTGCTCTGAATACTTGGGGGGCTGTAGGCTCATCTTTACATGTGGCTTACTTCTGAAGTCATGCACCTTCCTTGTTCAGCTAGCTTTTCTCATGTAGAAGGATCAGTGAGATTTTTCTCTTTGCTCTCAACCTCTTATTTAGTTCTCCCATGTACCTGTTTTTCTTGTTTGGTTTTTGCTGAATTTGTTTTCTGAAATCCACATGTTAGCATGCATTTACTTTCCATTTCCTACATTAACGATACTAGTTATTTCTCTCAGTGGTATCTTCCCATGTTTGAATTACTAAGAATGAAGGCTAAGTGTTTAAAGTTTTTGATTTGACTTTAGCCTACAAATCTGTTGTTTTTGGCCAACTCTATGTTGCAAATATATATTAAAGCACTTCACTGTACTCCATAAATGTATACAACTATTTTTTCAATTAAAAATAAAATATAAAAACTTAAGGAACATTTCACCTGAGTCTGTTGCTTTGTAGGAACATCATTTTAAATCCTTTTATTTGAATAGGAAGCCTTTGGGCAGTTTCCGTTTAAGGCTAATGCTATTCCCAAACACCTCCCTTCTTAACTTCTGATATACTTCCTTATAAGCTAGCCCCCTGAAGCATTATGCCTGCCAGGAAACATACCCGTGACCTTTTTTTTTTTTTTTTTTTTTTTTTTTTTTTTAGCAAATATCCTCTTCTACAACAGCAATAAGGGCAATCTCCTTTTTGCTGAGATTTTCACATTTGCATCTCAGATTCACTTATTTTTAAGGTAAAATACTTAAAATGTAAATTTCTGTGCTCAACAAGTCATTGCAAGTACAGATGGCCCGATGCCATTGCATAGGTTAGAGATTTCACTGAGTATATATTAAATATATTTTACCTTGCTTGTGCAGAAATCTTGAAAAGTGAGATTGCAATCAGAGATTCAGGCATGGATAACTGCACTGATACTGTTATAAAAATCTCTCTGAGGTAGAGCTCTATGGCAAGAAGGAAGCACTGGAGGATGGGGTATTAACATGAATTCAAGTCCTGGGCCAACTGTGCACTTTTTCTGGGTTCTAGGGAAGTCACTTACCATCTCCTTAACTGCAGATTATCATAAAATAAACACAGTAACAGTATCTCTTCTACACAATCCATGAAATTCTATTTAGAAAGAGAAGGTAAGGAAATATCTATAAAATAACTCACTAAAGGATAATCATTTTTCAGTCTCTTGATACAGTTTATTTTGTGGAATTCCTTTACCTATGTTGTTGGCTTCTTGGAAGCCCTGGGAGAAGGCCTGAATTCATGGGCAACTATGAGCCTGCCGATGAATGAAGCATGGCCAACGGACTAGGACTGAAGTGTGGTCCCTCTAAAGTGAATTTCTCTGGACTCCAGTTGAATTTCAGAAGCTAATGGATAGGAGGCAGGAGTAGACTATGAAGACTGGGAGCTCTCGGGGGACTTCTCCAGAACATCTGTAGTTTCTCTTTCTTCTATCCTAGGAAGGAAACAATTAAATTGTCCATGGGGACATAGTTAGATATTTTGAGTATGCTTCTATGTTTTGAAAATTGCTAATTAATATATACATTGCAGTTAGCACTATACACAATTTTTGCAGTATAATTCTAAGATTTTTTGTTAAATATATAGCCACATAATCACTATCCAAATAGCCTGATATCCTCAATTTCTTTGTTGTCAGGTTTCCACCACTCAGTATCCTGGCAAACAATAATATTTTTTCCCATATAATTTTCCTTTGCAAGAATATCCATCACTGGAATTATAGAGCACATTCTCCCTCTCTATAGTACGTATTTTATTAGGATAATTTCAGATGGGGTATAAATGTTTTACCTATGTTTACAGTGGAGTTTATACATATATTTATATATGTATAATATAAATTATATATAATATATATTATATATATACATTATATATATATATATATATATATATATATATATATATATATAGAGAGAGAGAGAGAGAGAGAGAGAGCTCTGAAGGCCTCCCTCCTCCAAGTGATCTGCTTCCTTCATCTGGACCCCTGTCTTTAATACTTTATTCAGCAGTGAACTCCTCAGGAAATTGGCCTTTTGATGAGGTTAGTGCCTTCCTGTTCCAAGCACCTTCCAAAATCTCTACCTCTGAACACATGATACTTTTGGAGGACATTGTGATACAAGCCATAACCCTTTTCTTACCGATGGGAAGCTGAAATTTGGGAAGGTTAAATCACTTCATTTGAAGCTGAGCTACATTAGCACACAGAACCTACTTGTAACCACTACACACACTTGTGATCATGAGGTAGGTATGGTAAGTCCTGTGGGAGCTGAGAGCTTAGAGAAGACTCTGTAGAGGAACAATGGATTAATTCCCTAAGTTTGAGAACTACAGAACAGATAGAGCTTTCCACTACTCCAGACAGTCTGTGTCAAAATTCTAACTGCCTGTTTCCACAAACGGAAAGACTGATAGTAAAGGTTGTAAGTAAATGCAGACTTTGAATAGCCCAAATTTGAAAATGAATACACTGATTCATATTTCCTTTTTTTAAAATTTTATTTAAAAGAAAAAAGAGAAAAAAACAAAACAAAACAAAGCAGTGTAAGGGTACAAGTAATACAGAACCACACAAAAAAAAAAAACAGTAAGAAATCACCCATTAATAGATTGCACATTATCATCTTAGAGATAGTTGCTCAAGTCACAGTATCAAAGCATACAAAGTGGACATCCAAACAGTGAGACTGTAAACAGTTGTGTTCAATGATCCAACCAAAAACATTAATATGGTCAGCTATTTCATGCCCCTAAACGCACTTGCAGTTGTATCCTTTAGAGCACTTTTTTCCCCTCTCTTTTTTACAACACAATTTACACATTTTGGGTTTTATTACTCTTTAGTTCTCATTACTTTTTTTTTGGAAGAGATTAAAGTCAAATATGGCAAAACAAAGCTGTCAGTCAAAACCAAGGATAGACATAGCACATGATGTAAAACAGAGTACAAGGTTATCAACAATGGTTCTTGATTGTGAAAATTAAAACACATCAAAGTATTTGATATTTCGTTAAAAATAGAGATGTAGATGATATGTTAGGTATTCTGTCACTGAGATACAATACTCAACTCCCACAACTTAATGGAAACAAAGATGTAAGTTAGCTCATGGATTCAACAAATTAAGTAGACTCAATAAAGAAATATCAAGATGTAAGAATATGGTAGAACAAAGCTTCTTAGCTCATTGTTGCAGCTGAGGAAAGCAGAGATACAGTGCCAAAGAATGAGTGAAAGACAGTTACAGATCTGAACACCATGCCTTCACAATCCACCCAGATGCCTCAGACTGTATTCTACCAATTCTTGAAGTTGATTGTGAAGCCAAACAATTGGCACTCTGTCCTAATGGTCATGCTCCTCCACTTTGCCATTTGATATTCAAACACATCTCTTGAAACTATACTTAATCCTCAAATAAATTCAAGGTTATAATTCTGCCTAATTGATACAAATATCTTGTATATGACCAAAAAGGTAAGAACACATTCACCAAATTTTTAACAGTTTCAGTATTTTTTGAAAGTCTAAGTCTCTTTTGAGACTCAAGGTAAACTTTTAGCTACAAATTTCTAAAAATTAAAAAAAAACTAAGCTGCATAGTTCCAATATAGTACAATGTCACACTTGAAGGAATAGGGGGATGGAAAAGAGACAGAACAAGAAAAGACCAAATCTCAACAGAAAACTTTCACTTCTGTAGCTCCGTGAGACTGCGTAGGACTATGATGCTGAGTTGGGTTTCATAAGACCTGCACTCCCCCATCCTTATGGCTCTGTTATTTATATCCCGCATAGCTTCCCTTTTGGACTGACTCTTCTAATGGGAGGCAGTTTTCCTTAAAATATCTTCTATATTCCTGCATCATTCACCTCCCGGGGTCTCTGCTACACTGTTGGGTTCATTTCCACAGCTCCTTGTGTCACACACTTGGGGACTCCTTCTTGGGCTTCCAGGATTTCCTATGAAGTCTGGATGGAAACATTCTTGGCCCTACAATTCTTACATTCTGAGTTTTGTTAAAAATTGCATCACATGACGTGTTAGTTACTTTCCTCTTGTTGCTGAGGTAAAATACCTGC